TATTCTCTCCTAGACTCCAGCTGTCAATCATACCATCGTCCAGTTTCAGTTTGAATGATACCCTGATGCTCCCTCCCAACCCATTATTTATTTATATAATGAAATATATGAAAATATATGCTATGGAGAAATAATATATCAGAACATTAACATATGGCATAATGAAATACATTTATGTGGATAATATAGTTGTTACTGCAATAAAGAAGTATTTTACATATACTAAGATGCAGCTCCATACCTCCTCAGCTCACAATGGCGGGTGGATGCAACACTGAAATGTATAGGATATATAAGGCAATTAAATATATTTTCTCGAATGATACTAACAATAATGCTAAAAATTGTGATGAATAACTAACATGACGAGAATTAACCTGCTTAATAATTATATACATAACATATTATTTAATGTTGTTATTTCCTCTGCTTCATCAGCTTCATATTAATTTCGATGACTTGCTTGGGTTACTGAAATATTAAGGTAATAGTAATAGTATATTATGTAATGTAACAAAAATTTAGTTTTGTTATTTATAAATCATTGATCGTTGGTAGCATCTAGTCTAAAAAGGGGACCTGTATAATAATTATATACATATAATGTTGTATTATTGTTGTCATCTGCTTAATTTTGATGTATATGAGTAATACAATACAATAAAATACATTAAGTGAACAATAAAATGGTGCCTTCCTTCTCTCATCCTGTAAATGCATTGTTATCAAGCAACGTTTAGATAAATCAACGCCTAGCACTGGAACAATAAGACAACACGATGGCTTCCCACATGCGCAAGGTACAAGAAAAGATCCCAAAGCCCGCGTCCGACACACAAAACCTGAAATTTCAGCTTTGACAGAGCTACAATGAGCGATTTTCTGATCGCCTCTTCGCGAAGAGTGAAGAGCAAGGAGTAAGTGAGACAATGACAAAATCGCTCATTGCGACTCTTATGCAGCAACATTGGCTGGCATTATGTGTCAAACACAACTCTACAGTCCCCTCCTGTCGCTCACACAACCAAAATATCACCATAACATCCTACTACTCCACAATCCCACAAAACACTCCTCCAGCCAAAATGAATGGAAGGCCCTTGCATATAAGGCGACTGATGAATCTGTATGTTCATGTGCAATTTTATTATCAGCGGAATGGGATGCGATATGGAAAAATTCAATATGATTTCATATTATACAGGAGCATTTGTTACATCAATTAAAGAATAATATAAACTAGGTTTGGATTCCTAATTGTAGATAAAACACACTGTAACGTGTTGCTAAAATAAAACCTATACTGCAGAAGCATGAATTATGTGAGTGAGATAATACGATTAAGCATAGTGTCCTCAATAAAATAGTTTAATATTTGCGCATGAAAATTTACTGTTGATGTTTGTTTATCTGTTCTAGCTGGTTTTTAATTACCAGCAATCCATAAAAATTACAAAAAGAAGCGACCACCTCTTCCATGGGCGAAAAGCGCTAATAATTTTTGTATGGTTACTCTGCTCAACTCTGCTACTCCTCTAGCATCCTAAATCTGGTATTTGAAATTTTAATGTTAATAGAATAGTTACAATAAAAACGACACACCGCCGTAAATGCCGTATCTCAGCACCTTAACCTTAAACGTTAAAACTCTACACACCTATTTATTCCAAAGGACTGCCTTTCTCCTGAAGCCCCTTTCTCCATAATTCAAGAGCAAATTTTCATTATGTCGTAAGTAACATTCGCACCAATCCGAGAAAAATAAAGTTTTGTTTTGATGACCGAAAAGTTATTCCTATTTTCAATTCAACTCGTATAATCTCATAGTGATAGCAATGTTTAACATATCTAGCAGGGTTCTAATCATACAATTGCAATTCGCTAGCTTTCATGTTAAAAAATACTGGTTTTTAAGTCAAAAGTTATTATACGTCGTTTGGTGGCCCCTATTGTTACTTAAGTCAAAGTGTATTTACCAGGATATTCGGGAGAATTATCAATTACGTCTCCTTACGTGCAGCCCATTCATCATTTTAGGACCACAGAAATCATCTTAGCAACAAATAGTTTGATTTATTCACTTTAATAATGAGAAAGCGAAACGACGAACGTACACTTTTCACGGGTTTCTCAGCGCTGTTACTTAAGTCAAACGGCATCTCCATAGAATTCGGGTGACTTAAGTGACATCGAAAACTATTTTGATCGGAAGGTGATTACGTCAAAAAGCAAAAATGGGATGTGATTCTATATTCGGACAGTATTAGTGTAATAGCAGGAGCATCGATTGGCACTGATAGCTCGACTTGTTTACCTTTGTTACTTTCGACGTAATGAAAATTTGCTCTTGAATTACTCTTTCACCTCTACACGCGAGACCTCCACCACCACCACCCGCTAATTTAGGAGAGCGATCTACATGAGAGAAATGGAAAGAGAAAGAGAACTATTCGAAGGTGTTTCTCGATTAGCCTTTCCCTCCCCTTCCCAACTAAAGACAGATCCAGAACAACATGTGAAAAGGGCATACAAGCTTTTTGTAAACAAACCTTTGTAGGCCCTTTTCTCACCAACCGAGGGTCGCCCACGCAAAAAAGCAATATCATCGGGAAGAGGAAAGTGTCCCCTACCCGGTGATGTTAAAGGTTTGCGTTGGTGTCATATGGGTGGCGAGAAAAGGGCATAAGAAGGTTTGTTTACAAAAAGCTTGTATGCCCTTTTCACATGTTGTTCTGGAGATGGCATGGCACGTGAGCTCCACAACTAGTCGACACGATCCTCTCGCGACGGTGTGAAGGAGACCCAAGTATTAGATCCTCTTTCCCCCGCCGCCTCTCGTGCCGTACCGCCACCAATACACGAACATATGAGCGCCATATTGAGATCTTCAAACACAATCTCACGCACACCGAAGTCCAACTCTCATTTCCAAAACTGAAGAAGAAGAAGAGCCAAAAATGTATCGCGATACCACAACTACTCAAAAAGGTATCGCGCGGCTCACTCACACCTTTGTGCATCTGAAGAACTACTCTATTTCTCAGTCCAAAACGGAAGCATACAACGATACCACCTAGTCTGTTATGTTTCCACAGCTCATTCTGAATTTAAAATCTGCTACTCATAAACATCTCTTTGGGATCGTCCATTAATAATGTCACACTTTTAGGTGGAAGGGGGAGCGACAATTCATACAAAAAAAATATAATGTCCATACACAAAATGTTACAAGGGGAGAGAGGGGAATGAAAATGGGCCAAATATGCGTGACCTAATTAATGAACCTTCCCTTATAAAGATCTTATCCGTACTCTTCGAATTTCTCTTCCATCTTGTAAAAGTTCAACACCAACTCTCATTATTTTTCTTAAACCTGACCTGTTATACCCTAGTCTGCACTAACACTCCGCCACTTTAGACTTCCACAATACTCATACATTCAGTTTCTCTCTCTTTTTCTATTTTCCTCCTGTTCCATCCAACACCTTCTACACTGCTATAATTAGTAATATGAACATAGACGAGTGCACGGATGAATTTGAGTTCACTCACTCGATAAAAAGTGACACAACAGCGGGGCCCTGTTTACTAAAAATGAACACATATGTGTTCATTTTTAGTAAACAAGGCCCCGCTGTTGTGTCACTTTTTGTCGAGTGAGTGAACTCAAATCCATCCGTGCACTCGTCTATTGCCAACCATATTTCAAACAAATTGTACCGTGCCGATTCAAATTTCGGACACTTAAACTCGAATTTCGGACACTTTTAAAAGTTGATTATCTCGGTCAAATATGATCCACATGTCTTGTAAATTTTAAATTTTTTTGACTAGTGCCCTCCACGATCATCTAACATTATTACTTTGTTTCTAACTGGATGTAATATTTAATTAAAAATGAAAGTGTCCGAAATTTGAATCGTCCGAAATTTGAATCGGAACGGTATCACAATATTTCTAGCACTGAATATCAAAAACATATGTTTTATCATTCAAAAATTGATCATTTCTGTGTGGCATGTCACCCTGATCGGTAAATGTTATGGTCATGCATAAATACTGCACAGTAAACAATGTGGAGTGTGCAACAATTGGGTGGCATATTAATTATCTAGGGGAATTTACGTATTCTCGGCAACCTAAGCAGCGACGTTCTTTCTATAGCCTTTTCTCTAAGAAACGCACACATATGCAGTATTGGTTTGTTTACAATCTTTTGCTGCCAACTGCTCTAACAATTTCAGTCGAAAGAATAGTCAAAAACTGTTTTGAAACGCTTTTACAAAGCTCCAATCTTCTCTAGTGAGAGCGAGTATTGTCGGCAACCGTTCCATTTGGACTGTATGTAAATCTGCTGTTCTATTATCGGCAACTCGAAATCAGCTACAATTTGTAGTGCGTGTGTTGCATTTCAAGAAAACCTTGCTAGATTGCTTTTTCTCAGTGGTAAAAATATAATCAAATTGAAACTGAAAGCGTAAAGAATCGTTTGTATGCATTCAGCGAAGTGTTTTCGTAAGAAAATCCAGTGAAAATAATGTTTCAATTTGGGTTGCCGAAAATAGTCTGTCATGCCGAAGCCGTCATTTCCCCTATCTATTTTAAGATGGATTAACTGAAAATTCAATAAGACTTAACGTTAGCCGTATATATTTAAAAGTAATGAACGATGCTTCAAAGAACGATCCATCCCTGGCCACAAGTATTCGGAGTATGAATCAGTACGGTACAGTTACCTCCTTGTCCCCCACCCAAGAATTGAGTTGTTCTGCAAATTCTACCTGCTTTCATTAAACATCTTCCATCACTTTTGTTGAGACTCTAAATTTTGCTACTTGTCCTGTAAGAAAAATCTGTTGATAGGGATGTAAATTTTAAATTTTTCCACAGCACCTATGGTTTTCATACGGGAAATTCAGCTTTATAAATAGTGTATGCACCCATCACTCGAACTTTCGCTAACATAAATCTTTCTCCTCCTTCTCTCTTCTCGTACCCAGGGATCATCCTGTCGAGTCACAGCCCACCGGTGACAACCCCACTGGAACCGTGTCGAATGGCACCGTACGTGAATGTCCCGTCGCTACGAGGCTCCGGTGTCAACGTGGGAGGACCGCCCGGTGGGATGACGTCTCCACCGGGGGTCAGCGCGGCAGCTGCTGCCGCTGCCGCCGCTGCTGCCAGTCATCCCGGATTCCCCGCGGCAGCGTTTTCCGCCTTCGACTCGGCGTTCATCTCGGCAGCGGCACATCAGGTAAATGAAGTTAGAAATTACATTAGACGTTTGCTAACTGTACTAACTGTAACTTAGCGAACGGGATTCGCTAACTGAACTGTGTCAAATACATCAATCATCGTGTTCGTGTGGTTCATCTTGACATTTTGAAATGCATAAATTTGATCGATTACAAATAAGTTTATATTTTAAAATTCAGGTTTTTTCCCCGGTTTTTCTGGTCAATAATTCAACAAACCAAGTTTTAAAAAACGATTGATTTTTTTTTATGATTCACTTTACTTCTTCTATAAATTGGTTTAATTTCCGAGAATTTATAAAAGTTTGACTTACAAAAATTACCACCAAAAGGATCTTATTAAAGTACAATTTTGATCACATCAGGATATTATTATCAGACATTTTTTTTTAAGTTTTTAAGAACAACGCTGCTCTATTGAACTTTCAAAATTTGTTAAATATGTATATGTATATAGATTTCTGTATACATTATTAAAAGTTCCTTAAATTCTAGTTCGGTTAAGCCAAATTTGAAGTTTTAAAATACATATTAATTGGAGTCACAATGAGGGTATTTACGGGCCACTAAGGGCACATTAGTAGAATGAGAGGGTATTACGATTTTCACTCTTACTGTAAATTATTATTTCTACTGTTTCTATGACAGTCCACAGTGGTCCAGAATGCAGATTTAGCTGGAATGATATGTTTTGAGCCTGAAATTGAAACTTTAGACTAAAAGTCTCCTCTACAAAGTTGTTCCTTATAGTTAGGCCCTCATTTTTATGACATTGAATTCTAGGGTGGTTCCTATTATCATTAAAATCAAAAATCTAACTTTTTTGTCTGAATAAATTAAGGTATACATTCTTCGGCAAAGTTATAGCTGAGCTAATTTCAAGCAACTGTGGTGAAAATAACTTTTTTGTATCTCTTAAATTGGCCAATTTAGAGCAATTTTCTTGAATTGAGATAGGGTGGCTCTCAAAAAAACAGTTTTTTTGCTCTATTTTTCTTATTTCGAATTTCTCAGCAAAGGTGTCTTCAGATAACTTTTAGATCTTAATAAGGCGCAAATTTTTGCTGCACAAAGCTTGTCAATATCTTTCACCGATCAAGAGTTATTGATTTTTTTATACTAAAATTATGCACTTTTCAAATGTTAATATTTTTGGTTGGGGCAAACAAAAAAAAAGTTTTTTTGCAGCATTTGAAAGGGCGTATGTTATTCTCAATAATATGAAAAAGTTGGAGGTATGTTATTTTTTAAACTCGTATAAAATCAATTTGAATTTATTCATATTTTTTACTATATTTGACTATATCTTTTTTATTAGAAGAGATACAGGCAACAAATTCAGCTATAAAACATTCGTCTTAAAGAGTTTTAAAAGTCTCTAGAAGATGACTTTCATGATAAATTTCAAATAAAAAAGTTATTGCCAAAAGATGGATTTCATAGGACCACTCTAATGACAAATTTATATAAAATGTGCTAGTACATTTGTTTCAATATTTGGACATTTAGTGTCTTCGAAGAAGTTTTTGTTCTTAAAAATTCCCTTCTTTTGGTGTTTGCAGACGTCAGGGTGGTCCTCAAATTAGGGAATTTTTAAAACTAACTTTTTTGTTTTACAAAATATAAACATGTATTGTTCGAAAAAGTTGTAGTTAAGTTACTTGCAAGCAACTTTGTCGAAGAAAATTTTCTTCTATCTCTTAACGTTCTCATTTTAGAGTAATTTTTCGGAGTTGACTTAGGGTGTTCCTGGAAAAAATAGTTTTTTAGCAATAACTTTTTTATTTGAAAATTCTCATGAAAGTTATCTTCTAGAGACTTTTAAAACTCTTTAAGACGAATGTTTTATAGCTGAATTTGTTGCCTGTATCTCTTCTAATAAAAAAGATATAGTCAAATATAGTAAAAAATATGAATAAATTCAAATTGATTTTATACGAGTTTAAAAAATAACATACCTCCATTTTTTTCATATTATTGAGAATAACATACGCCCTTTCAAATGCTGCAAAAAAACTTTTTTTTTTGTTTGCCCCAACCAGAGATATTAACATTTGAAAAGTGCATAATTTTAGTATAAAAAAATCAATAACTCTTGATCGGCGAAAGATATTGACAAGCTTTGTGCAGCAAAAATTTGCGCCTTATTAAGATCTAAAAGTTATCTGAAGACACCTTTGCTGAGAAATTCGAAATAAGAAAAATAGAGCAAAAAAACTGTTTTTTTGAGAGCCACCCGAACTCAATTCAAGAAAATAGCTCTAAATTGGCCAATTTAAGAGATACAAAAAAGTTATTTTCACCACAGTTGCTTGAAATTAGCTCAGCTATAACTTTGCCGAAGAATGTATACCTTAATTTATTCAAACAAAAAAGTTAGATTTTTGATTTTAATGATAATAGGAACCACCCTAGAATTCAATGTCATAAAAATGAGGGCCTAACTATAAGGAACAACTTTGTAGAAGAGACTTTTAGTCTAAAGTTTCAATTTCAAGCTCAAAACATATCATTCCAGCTAAATCTGCATTCTGTACCACTGTGCAGTCGTGAAAACAATTTAAAACATTGTGTTTTGACAGAAAGAGCATTTTGTTCATTTTTGAGTAGATGAATTATGATAAAATTCATTCATTCAAACAAGCAGCAAAATAGTCATGATTGAAAGCTAAATTTTTTTGAAAAAGTGTTAATTCTACCAAACAGATGATTGCACATGCAAATATACTCAGAATTGACAGCAGAAGAACGAATTAGGCGAGAAACTGAACGAATATGAAAAAAGTTCTCACCGAATGCAAAGTCGAACATTATAGCACCGACAAACCGACATGAATGACCAAACAATAAAATTGCTAGATAAAAAAAATCCTATGGTTTTGACATTTCGGATCACTGAACATTTAAATCGGCCGTTTACGAATTAAGTGTCATATCGGTTTGTCGGTGACGAAACTAACGATTTTAAATTGGCTCACTACTTGACTAGCTTATTGGTCCCAAGCAAACGATTAACGTACCCCATTCTAGTCGAAATTCTAGTACTGCACAATGTTTGTTTTGATTCGCTATGAAAGTTTGACAGATAAAATGAGGGATTAGTGGATTTTCCTATGTTTCGAGGGGTGAATCGATTAGCTTGGGACCGAAGAGAGTACCAGAGCTGAGCAAAAAAGTTGAGCACGTTTCTTCGGGACCTTCTAGTCTTAGAGTTACCTTTAGTTTAGTTTTCATTGGAAATCCTATGTATGAGTGCTCATTTCAAGACAGCCTATATTACATGATATAAGCAATAGTCTGTACGGGTTATAAGGGCTAATATTGAACATTTATGGAATATAACTTCGATCCAAATATTGCTTGGCGCTATAATTATGCTATAATTATGCTCTTGAATCGCTGACTACTTCTATAGTTGAAGAAAGAGCTGCCTCAGTACCAAAATGCGAGGTTAACTTCGATTTAATTATAATAGAGCTCTTGATCCCTCTGAAAAATGTCCGTAGAAGGAAATATCAAAGAACACGTGATCATGTCATGAAAGTTATCGGGCGGTAATTGCAAAAACAAATTAAAAAGCGATTAACTGCCCTGAGGAACTGAGAGACGGGATTTTTTATTAATTCCTGGGGGACTAATTTGCACACTTAGATTATTTTATAGGAGCCAGTAAGGTTTTACTGGGTTTTTGAATAGCTGAAAAAGTGGATAAAATTTCAAATGACCGTTTTCCGTAACGAATCAATGAAATCGATCAATCATATTTTCTATTATTAAATGGGGTTAACAGAACTGAGTCTGTATAAGTTCGGAACAATTTTCTCATTTTAGAATTTTACATAGATTGTTAAACTTTTGCCGAACAGTTCCGCAATTCAAAAACCCAGTAAAACCTTACTGATTAGATTAGTGTGTGGACGAAGTAAGATCTATAACTAAAAAGTTTCATATTATGAAACCTCCAGGTGATGATGGAATTTTCTATATCCTCATCAAAAAAAACTCCCAGAGAGTACCTTGTCTTTCTTGGTAAATTTATTTAACAGATGTTATTATTTGGCATACTTCCCTGATACATGAACAAATTGGCTAAAACTATGGCTAAAAATATCTCAAATAAAGGAAAAAAAAAACATGAACAAATGCAAAAGTTGTTCCAATTTTGAAGCCGGATAAAAATCCAGCTGAAGTTTCGTCAAATAAATTTGCTTTCTTCAACATGTCAACTTTTTGAAAAGATAATTTTAAATATAATGATGTTTACCATCAATACGAACTCGATTTTTGCAGATGAGCAGTTTGGATTCCGCCATGGGCATTCAACTACTCATCAACTCTTAAGAGTTACCAATTTAATTCGTTCAAACAAATCTGAAGGCTGCTCAACTGTAGTTGCTCTTCAAGACATATAAGAAGCAATTGACAGTGTTTAGCATGAAGGTTTGATTGACAAATAGAAAAAAAAAAGTTTAATTTTCCACTCTATATCATAAAATTAGTTCAAAATTATTTAACTGATAGAACTCTGCAGGTAAATTATCAAAATTCCAAATCTGATCGACTACCTGTTAGGGCTGGAGTTCCTCAGGGCCCATATTGTATAACATTTTCACTTCGGACCTTCCTGATTTGTCTCAGAGTTGCCACAAATCATTGTTCGCCGATGACACAGGCATTTCCGCTACAGGAAGAAGTCTTTGTGATATTTTCTCTTCTTATTTACAAAAATGGAAGATTTCTCCTAACACTTCCAAAACTCAACTTATAATATTTACACATAAGCCTATGGCTTCCTTTTTGAAACCTAGTAGTAGTCACATAGCCACTATGAACGGAGTTCCAATTTCTTCTTCAATACAAGTGAAATATCTTGGACCAAAAGTTGACCAAAAATTAACTTTTAAAGATCACATTGAGGGCATTTAAGGTGATTCCTTGTAGAGTCCACAAATGGCCACCACGTAGGCTATAAATGCACTTCCACCTCGAAATTTCAATAACACAAATCTCGAAAATTAGTGACCTATTTCACCTGAAATTGCTACTGCATGTATGCTGCAGCGCAGCAAACGTGGAGTAACAGTTTCATTATGGTACGTGTCGTACAAGCTGATATTTGTGCACTTAAAGTTTCGAAGTGGTAGCGAGAATAAGGATCTCACAGCGAAACACCTTAAGGCAAATCGAACAAAAAATGTTTGTATCCTCTTATACTACGTTCAGACTACAGAGTTATAACATGTTATAGCACTATTTTGATGGTGGTTTCTGTGTTGCAATTATTTGACAACCGTTATAACATGTTATAACTGCTCAGTCTGGACAGCGTTTTATAAACAGAAAATCCAAACTTTACCTGAAGAATTAACTTCTAATATTTAAACAAGTATTTAGACAAGGCCTTGGACACATAAGGTTCATGTGATTTAGTGGTGCAATTTCCAATTGTGGGATCACGTGAAAGTCATGTGAAATTTACATGGATATTTTCCACTGGTTATGTAATTTATTTTATGAGTGTAGTGAAATGTTTTGTATTACACTGAAAAAAAAACATGCATTTTGTTTCCATTGGAAACGCACATGGTTTTCAATTCATTTGCATCAATTTGGAAGTCATGAAAATAATATTTATTTAATCACATAAATTCATCAGTACACTGAAGCAAATATTCACGTAATCGCCATTGGTGAAATCCTTTAAATTTCATTTGATGTCCAATGAGGATATCACTTTGAAAAATCCAGTGAAAGTTATGTGTCATTGATTTTCATATGACCATAATTAAAGACACATATTTCGGAGAACAATAGCCACGTGGAAAAAAGTATACGTTTTATTAGATATTCCATTAGTGCAATTTTATATGAAAACCACTCGTTGTTACGTGTCATTCCGTGTATGCATCAATATTCGGTTCATCGCATATCCGGTTCTAGTTATAGGATCAGTTTCATTGGTTTACTATGTTTGAATGTGATGGTATGGTATGGAATGCACTTTACCTGTTTTCGGCAAAAACCGGAAATTGATCTCGATAGGACGAACTACCCTATTTGCACACTACCATACCGTTACAGCAACTCTATACGCTAACCTCATTCCCCATTTCATTCATCTCTTCCCACATTTTCATTCCACAGTACGCGGCTGCGCTCTCCTCTGGAACCGTTCCGACGGGGCTGTTCTCGCTGTCCCAGTATCGACCGACCGCGGCGACGGCGGCCGCGGTGGCAACGACGAGTGGCCTGGCGGTAGCTGCAGCTGCCGCCGCAGCTTCCGTTTCTCTGCCCGGATTCACCGTTGCGCATGATAAAAACTCCAGCATCGTCGACCTGAGGCTGAAGGCGGAGAAGCACAAAGAGAACCAGAAAAAGATTGTAAATAACGTGTCGTCGTAAAAGAGCTAAGGGATCCATCGGACACCATTCCCCAAAACGGTCTCCTTTACCCCACCATTCGTTGACGCCCTGTCAGGACGCCGCAATGTGTGTAATTTATGTTTGTCTATTGTTCACAGGATTTATTTAATTTACGAATTAATTTTAATTACACTTCCAAAGTTAATTTCGTTTGAGTCTGGCGCTGAAAAAAAAAGATCGAATAGCGGTTCCAGTTTGCTTCGCGAGGATATCAACAGATAAAAAAGGGTTTATAGCGATGAACCCAATTAAGAAATTAATAAGCAAGATCAAGGCAAAATGAAATCAATGAAGCAGACGATAATAAAACAATAATTAACACTTAAACAGCGTATTGCAAACGTGACGAGAGTATTCCAGTTCCGGAAAAATCTATCAATCAAAAATGTATAAAATAAGTAAATAGGAAATAAACTCTGTTCAAAATTATTGAAAGCATCTAATGTGAATAGGATCAATCGATATTGTTTATCCGAAATTCCACAATCACGTCAATCGAAGTGTTGTTGATTAACCATAATTGGTGTAAACTATAGTCGCTATATTCATAGTCTGGCGGATAAAATTTCTAAGTATTAAAAACCGGAACCAATTCAATATATTTTAGACCAACAATTGAAAAGGTACTATCAACTTTTATAAACAAAACGTTGATTATTCTTTCCTCGCCAATCGAACGCAGATAACCGGCATCATCGGATAGCGGAAACTTTCCTCAACCTAAGTTTGGTATTAGTTTGCGTAGGTAAGCCTTGAGTCACGAGAAAAGGGTTTCCGAAATTTTGTTCGCAATATGATGATGATGATGGTCCCACCTCTTACCCCTACAAAGGTTTGAGCTGGACGATTTATCTTTAAGATAATTAAATATAAACATTTTAACCAGGTTAGCAAACAAAAACGAGCTGGTTACAGTTACAGATATAAATTCCCTCTAGACTTCACAGTTGCTTCACAGCAATATACATAAATGTGAAAAAGCTTAGGCGTCCACCTCTTAGTTCGCCTTTTTGTCCACCTAGAATATTCATAAGTATTACAAGCAATCAAGAGTTAATGAACAATCAACAAAGCATCCTATACACTAGCAACCCCGCAATGATGCTATTATAATTTTCAGCAATGTCAGGAATGCTCACGAACCCCCGACATTCAGCCAGAAAACTTAATACTAACTCAAAGTATCTTCCAAATAAGCTTCAAAGTTGCATTTTTTTTTATCAAATGTTAAATTCAGTCCTCTATATCCGTAATACGCGCGCGAGGCTCAAACCTTTGTAGACTACTACTTTTTTTTTTTAACTACTACTTTAATTCAAATATAAAAAAAAAATCCATCATCACCATCGTGGCGAACAAAATAGTTTTTGCAGTGCTACAATAATTATTAAAAAGTCGTTATGACAGCTATCCATACAAAATAATCCGTTATAAATAACTTCGTCAAGATACATACTTCGTCCATTCATAAAAAAAAAAAATAAAAATCACTGGATAACTGTTCAAAAGACAGTTTTAACGTGTGAAATACAATGTCTCTTGAATTCTGCTAATGTTGTTGCACGTTTAATATGTCTAGGCATCGAATTGAAAACATTTACTCCTTTAAAATACAATGAATTCTGTGAAGCGCAAGTCAAGAAATGTGGTGTTCTTATTTCATCCGCGTTTCTAGTATTATATCTATGAAAATCACTTCCTCTTTCAATTCGATCACACAAATATCGAGGCAGCAAACCATTTACTACTTTAAAAATGAACACCATAGTCAAATAAACTATTCTTTGCTTCACTGACAGCCATTTTAAAGCGTCCAGCATCAAAGTTGAGGAAGTGAATCTATTACATCGCAAAATCAAACGCATTATTTTATTCTGCAAACGCTGTAATCTCGATATTTGTGTTTCATTGGCTAGAAATAAAATGGATGGGCAAAAGTCTAGATGAGGAGAGATGATTGATTTGTATAGCTGTATTTTACTGGCAATAGTTAAATCGTTTTTCAGTCGACATAGAATTCCATACTTCTTGGCAATTTTCTTGATGACATTGTCAATGTGAGAGTTGAACTTAAGTTTGTCATCAATAATCACGCCAAGATATTTAATCTCCCGAACGCGATCAATAGCCTCATCATCAATTACCACGGAGACATTATCATTTACTCGGTTCCGCGAAATTACCATGAATTTAGTTTTACTTGTATTTAATTTCAACTGCTTACACTTCAACCATCTACTTAGAGAACGCAAATCTTCATTCAAATGTGAGACGGCAACTTCTAAATCCTTAGCTGCAATGAATAACACAGTATCATCTGCAAAAAGATTAATGTCGCAAAATCGTAAAACGCGTCGCAAATCATTAATATACATAATAAATAAAAGAGGCCCTAATATACTTCCCTGGGGCACTCCAAGGTTATTCCCCACGGGACTGGAAACAGAATCATTAAAAACAGTCCGTTGAGTTCTGTCAGATAAATAGCTTTCAAACCATTTATAAGCAGTACTCGTAATTCCAAAGCGCTTGATTGTACTTAACAGTAAGGGCCTAGAAATTGTTTCAAAAGCGCGTTTCAGATCCAAAAAAACAGCAACAGTCGTATCTTTACGCTCCAAGTTGTCTTTCCACTTTGCTAACACCAAATTCAACGCAGTTTCACAGGAATGACCTTCCCGATATCCTGATTGTTCTGGTATCAACAAAGAGTTGCTATTCAAATACTCCAACAGCTGGCCTTTAACAACAAGTTCTAAAATTTTCTCTAATGTGTGCAACATGTTGATGGGACGAAACTCTTCGGCTTTAATCGTTCCAGCAACTTTTTGAATAGGAACCACTAAGGATTCCTTCCAAATTTGTGGCACATGTCCAGTCTGCAAAGATTCATTAATAAGGTCCAGCAAGATGTGGCCAATGACATGAAAGCAATCTTGAATAACTCTAGCATTAACATTATCTACTCCAGCCGATTTTCCTAATGAAAAGCAAATAACTCTAAGTTCATCTAAAGTAATTTGGTGAAAACCTTCAAATCTACAACTACTATTAACTGGCTGTTTTATTTCGTCAGGTTCATCGACCAATTCAATGGATTGATTAATCAATGAAACACTTTCGACAAAATAATCATTAAACATAGATGCAATTACTGGTTCTGACTGTTCTAATGTGCCATTAAAAGTTATGGATCGCGGTTTGCAATTACTAGGTTTTAATAAAGATTTCAAAATTTTCCATAACTCTTTGCTGTTGTTTTGATGCTGATCAATCTTCCTCTGGACATATTCACAACGAGTTTGTTTTATCGATTGTGAATATTTATTACGCGCGATTGTGTACCTATTCCAATGATTATCATTATTTGATCTGCAAAACTTTTTGTACCATTTGTCCCTCTTACGTTTAAGACGCAAAAGTTCCAAATTGTACCAGCTGTTCGAGTTTTTCAAAGAAACAAACTTTTGCTCAACTAATTGATTGGTACACGTTTTCAAAGTGTTAGTTAGAACAGCTGCAGATTCATCTAAATTACCGGCCGCGAATGGAAAATCCACGCTTCTCTCAACAAGATTTGAAACAGCCTGTTTCGAATATTTCCTCCAGCACTTCAATTTGACTAAGTCATCGTTATTATTGATATTATCTAATACATTAATCACTAAGGTCTCATGATCGGTTATTTTCAAATCAGCATCCGGAACTGAACAAATGGAATCAAAATTGGAATAAACGTGGTCAATTAAAGTTCTACTGTGCCTGGAAATACGCGTATACTCATCTACCGTTTGTTTTAAATTGAAAAAATCAGCTAAACGCTTCAAATGATTCGAATTATGGTTGTCACGCCAATTAATATTAAAATCACCAGCTAATATATTTAATTTACTTGAATCAAGGAATGTCTCTAGCCAGTTCTCTAAAACATCAACAAAACGCTGGTCACTAGAACTGGGAGAATGATACAAAACACCATAATTACCCATCTTCATGCCACGCACAACTGTAATGCCCAAGAACCAGTTACCATCGATAACTTCGTTGATTCGAAGGTCGAATTGAATTGATTCTTTGACATAAATAGCAACACCGCCAGTGTGTCTAGAATGTGATAAACAAGCAGCAACAATATATCCCGGAATACTATACTGGTCAAAAGCTTCAGTTTCTACAATATGAGTTTCAGCTAATAAAACTAAAAGTGGACGTTTTTCCTCAACAATCTGACGTAATGCTACGTAGTTTGTTGACAACCCCGCAATATTCAAATATAAAAAATCAAATTGATTCACATTCCTGGAACTTGGCTGCTATTTATTGAAACGCAAGCTGCTTTTCTTCTGTTCAAAAAGTCTTTTATAGAGCAAACATTCAGGACTAAATGCGGCATGGTTGACGTCCAAGTTCATTTTACGTTCTTTATTCATTTTCAAACAATTAACACATTTCAATACAGTTGACGTACACTCCGATGTTTTGTGTTGTTGGCTGCACCTAGAGCATCTCTCACAATTTTTGCAATCCATGCTCTTGTGCCCAAATTCTCCACATTTGAAACACCTCAATACATTAATCGCGGGAACTATAGAGCACCGATCAAACCCTACATTTACTTTTTTCGCGCATAACAAACATTTATACGTATCGAAATCGACTTCAATCACAACACTGAACTTGTTGTACGTGAAGCGTGGATTTTCAAACATGTTAACTACTTTTACATCATTTATAGCGATGTCTTCATTTTGACTTTTTAAATAGTCAATGAAGACATCGGAGGAATACTGATCGCTCATGCCCACTATTTTCAATCTCGGCACCGAAGTGGGAACAACAGCTCTATAGTTTTCACCCAGATTGCTTTCAATACCATTTTTGACATCACTTACATTTGCTCCTGTTGCACACTCAACAATAATGGAGCCATCTTTACCATTTCTAAAATTACTGATTTTGTGTGTTTTTGGATCCAACTGAGTTTTCAAAAACTTACGAGTGTCTTCGCAAGCTTGTTTGGACTCTTTCGGTTTAATCACAATGACCGGACGAGTCTTACGATTATCTTGTTTGTTACTGTTACTGTTATTTTTACTGTTACTGTTACTAACATGTTTACTTTTACTAGCACGACTGTCTCTTTTTACAACATCCGCAAAACTCGCATTTTCTTGAAAAACATCATCATTATCACTATTACTGATTACTAATTTACGTTTTTTGCGTCTGGTATTTTGGTCCGATTCCGACTGAATCGTCCTAGATACACTGCACTGATCATTCATTACCGCTAATTTGTTTTCCGCATCAATTTTAAAAAATGAACTTTTCATATTATCCAATTTCTCACAAATTAAATTTTCAAAACCATTTACATTTCGGCTTATATCTGCCATCCCGCTTTTAACCGCGATGTCTATCTGAGCAGCAATGTGATCTCGTATGCCAGTGATAGAGTCCGAGAGTTGAAAAACTTTCTTCATCTCTTCTTCTATCCTATTGACGCGCGAGATCAGATCATTCTGCTCGCCACAACACTGACCTGATAGACAGTTACACATAATAGCTGATGTGCTCTTTTCTGTTGTTGGTCGTGATTTGCTCGATTGGTTCCGCTATTTGACAGCTCAATTGGTTCCCGAGATTCTATCCGCCAGACTATAAATATAGCGACTATAATTTTAATCAGTTGCGAAAAACTGCTAGCAGCATGCTGATAACCATTATTGTGTGCGACAGGCTCACAATCACTGGTGAATCAGCACAAGTGTAAACCGTGCATAATGGGGTCCCTAATAAACAAATACCATAAACGAACTGTATCCCGGATGGGTAAACTATCCCACAAATGGTTTGGATGATACCTCGAACACGTCGTTAAGCTCTTTTTTATGGTTATTTTTATTAGGGGTGTTTACAGTTGTACTGATTCACGTGCTGGTGAGCCTGTCGTTCGCAAAACCATGGTTATTATCATGTGTAAAATTTTTATCGGTGCGTTGGAGCATCAATTTCTGGCACAAACTTGATCGGATTACACCAATTTTGATTCGTCAGCATTATGAACCAGCACATATGTAAACAGGCCATAAGTATCGACGAGGATACGCTAGCCAGTACACGGCCAATGAGATCAACCTAAATTTGACTTTAGTTTACTCATAAATCGCAAAAAGTTCAGGAACCCAGCGATGAGTAAATTTACCTCGTGTGTTCCTGTGAAAAACCTCAAAAATCTACCGGAAAAATGAGGATACTGACGAAAACTTTACTCAGTCTAGAAGTAGTCTATTGGTACTGGAGTGAATCCAGCATTGACTTTTCTCATTTCGGGATTTTTTCCAGGAAAAACTTAAGAAAATTTACTCAGCGCTGACTTTCTGTACTTTTTGCAATTTAGAGTAAATTGAACTCAAATTTGGGTCGGACGTTTAGACGCCTCGCTACCACAGAGAACAGCCGTTGAGGCTCGAACAAAATTTCTCTAAAAACTAGTGTAAAGATTCCTATTCGACTTAAGCGCAACTAACGACGACTTCCCCACTTACAAACCCTCTTTGACGACATGATGGCGCAGGTGTTGCACAACTTGCACTAGACACTAAAAGCCAGTAGTGCTGGCGCCACGTAACGGCCATGTTCCCACTTATCTTTACACAAGTTTCTTACCGAAGTTGGACGTCTGTTCTCTGTGTCGCTACTGCTTGGTCCAAAGTTATTCGGCATTCTAGCTACCGCCGGCAAATGGATAAATTGCATTTTAGATTCATTTTCAATCAATGAACGTGGATTTATAAAAAATCACTTATGGAAGATGATGTTTTATCATATTATTGCATTTTACAGCCATCCCTTTACTGTCCCAACCAAGATTAATATTTTATAATATTTTCCAAAGAGGATTTTTAAGTGGGGAAGTCGCTGTTAGTGGCGCTTAAGTCAAAAAGGAACCTTTTCACTAGTTTTTAAAGAAATTTTGCTCGAGCCTCAACGTCTGTTCTCTGTGGTTTTATTGAACACATTCAATTGGTTTCAACAAGAAGCGCACTAAACATCATTTATTTTCATCGTTTCCCATGAATCATGGGAGTGACATGAGCGAATGCATCTAAATTCTGATGTTTACCAATTGGTTAGAATAATTCGAACATTTGAGTGAAAACAATTACTTTAAACGTCGATTTCTCACGGATCTCAAAACTCCCATGCAATCCAACTACACCATGATATAATAAACCATTCTCTACCATATGCTGCCGTAAGTTTGCGTGAATGTTTTGTGATTGGTATGAAATCGATGTTTAATGCCATTGTTACTTGGCCCATTGACCCTTTTCAAATGTTTGTCGAGTAATTGATGTTTTATTACCCGGCACAATCAGCAACTTCAGCATAATAATTAAGCTGAAGAAGTTATTTTTTCTAATAATCGGCCGTATTGTGAACGATATGCTCCCAACTTCATCATTTTCATAGTTCTCACTTCGAAATATAGTGACGAACGATTGATAAAGTTTTGCTGCAATAAACCAATGGATGATACACCCTGTGCTATGTTTCTCTAATTGACATGTAGAATTCGGATTGGCGCTAGTGTTCATTAACGAGGCTGTCAAATTTATGCGCACGCATACACGGTTAGAAAATAGTCCCCAAAATCAAGTTTTTTTTTACTCATATCGGCACTATACTACAGGCAGCCAAAAGATAGGTAAAGCGGCTCAAAGTCGTTTTCATTTACTTGTATGTGCAATTCGTATGGAATTTTCCACTCGCTCTCTTACCAAAAGTAAGTTAGTTGTACCCAAAACTAGTATACTCAATGTTGGATTCCCACTCTTTACTACCCCTGTTGGGTGGTTTTGCTCCACCGTTTTGACAACATTAGAATGAGAAAAAAAGACAAACTGTCAAAAGTAGGAACTGTCCGCTGGGTATACTTTTTTCTTACCGTGTAGGCATCAGGCAAACCATGGAAAACAAAACTGTTCCATCCAAAAAGTAAAACACGATTTGTGTGCTCGTTTTACTCGCAACAAATATCAGTGGATTACCATTCGGAATGGCTCTTTATGATGACCTGGACACCAAGCAGGGTCCAGACAAGGTTGCCGGATGGTCATCCGGCATTAAACTGCTCCAGACGCAGCTACAGGTGAAGAAAGCCACCCAACCCATCATTCCTCCCAAGAACGTTTTGAGGAAGCACGTAAGTTTATCCCTGGTATTCTATGCTTTGTTTAAGTTAAAAAGTGAACTAAAATTTGTGAATGCCTCCAGGCCCTGACACCAGTGGTCAATCTGAAAGCAAAGAAGGAAAATGTCGACCTGTTTGGAATACCATCAAGCAGCAGCCAGGCGGTGATTGATAAGCCGATTACCGTCACGACCACGACGATACCCAGTGTGAGCAGCAGCGGTGGAGATGCATACAGTTGGGACGTGATAGATGAATACAATCCACTGTGGCCAAATGAATACGAGAAGCTCACCAAGGATCGAAAGGCTAAGGAACCACCCAAACAACCGGTGAATAACTACGGACGGAACAGGCGAGAGTATAAACGGGGTATAAATTTGAACAAGATGCACGGAGGAGGTGGCGGTGGCGGTGGTGGAGGAGTAGGAGGAGGAGCTGGAGGTAGCGGTGGGGGTGATGACGATGGTCCCTCAGCGAAGAAGAGCGGATTCGCTGGACGACCGACATCCGATGATGAGGAAGAATTCCGACCGGGGTTGAAGTCTTCCGGTGCGACAATTGCTCCGCCAGCCTCACTGCAGGAATCCGTTGCGCAGATTCCCGATGGGTCAAAGTGAGTTGTTTTCTAATTTGCTGGATGAGAATATTTAACTATTGTATAAATTACAGACTGGCCAACCTGACTGCCTATGGAGGAAGTTCGGTTGCAGCCAAGATTATGGCAAGGTATGGCTTCAAAGATGGTCAGGGCTTGGGCAAACAGGAACAAGGCATGTCGATGGCTTTGCAGGTTGAAAAGACTTCCAAACGAGGAGGACGTATTGTTCACGAAAAGGACATAAGCATGCTTCCGCCGCCGGGCGAACTTCCAACATCATCGACATCGGCCCAGGCGTTACCGGCGACAGAACCTTCGATTACGGAAATCATGAAATCACCCAGTAAAGTTGTCCTGCTGAGGGTGAGGTTTTCGATTATAGATTTTCGATTCTCCTAAGTTTTTTACAACTATCACTTTTGAACACAGAACATGGTGGGTCCGGGAGACGTAGATGACGATCTGGAACCGGAGGTCAAGGATGAATGTAACACCAAGTACGGAGACGTGGTGACCGTCGTCATTCACGAGATGCCGAAGGTGGTTCCGGAGGAAACCGTTCGCATATTTGTCGAGTTCAAGCGCATGGAAAGCGCCATCAAAGCCGTCGTGGATTTGAACGGTCGATTCTTCGGTGGTCGTCAAGTTCGGGCAGGATTCTACAACCAGGAAAGGTTCGACAGCATGGACCTCATCGGTTGATGGATGTTTCGGATGTTAGTGATGTAAGAGGTTTTTGTTCTCTCAGTATGAGTTTATAATCTTCAGCAAAAAAGCAGTGTAAGCAAGTGTTGTAACGGTAATGTAAAAATTGTCTTTTTTTTTCAATAAAATTTGCACTATCCACCACACACCCAAGCATTCTCATAGTTTACGGGGTACCAATTCGATATCTAGCCTAGGCGCGTTTAGTAGAGTAATGTGACTAGATTTGTTCCGTGTTCTCTTTTGTTGACGATTTTAAACAGATATTCTTCACAGCAATCATTATCAAAAATATGTGTAGGTCATGGAGCAAAACACGTGTAGTTTAAAAAACTTACCTAACATCAATAAATGCAAGATTAGGCAGATATTTTACGGCCGAACGCCTCCACTGGGTCCGTCACCTTCATCGACGGACAGACCACCGTCTTCCGTCTGCGATGAACCGACCGTTGTCTGTGACAGTAACGATGGTACTTTGAGCGGGATACTATTCTCGTAGATGACAACTCCATCCGAACGGACAACCTTGGAAATGGACAATTTGCAGTAGAAGCACAGTTTGTTGTTCATCAAGTGTTGGATGATACAATTCCTACAGAAAACCCAAAATGACAATCTCTTGTCTACGACAAAAATTAAACTTATCTACTTACTCGCAGGACTGATGCTGGCAAGGATCGAAAATGGCTGAGTTCTGTTTAGCATAGCAAATGGGACAGAGTGAATCTTCGGATAAGACCGTAATTTCCGATAGCAACGTTTGTCTTAGCTGCAGGATTTCGATTAGACGCCGAACCTTATCCAATTCTTGGCGACTGACATGACTTGGATCTGAGAGAAATAGTATTATCATAAATCAATCTAACAACCAACCAAACCGCCCGCCCTTACAGTCAGCCATATTGAATTTAATTATCGGTGGATCCGGAACGATCTCCTTCACGCCGATGATCGCCCGGAAGGGCGATGGAACCCGAACCTCATTGGTCAGCGGATCGATGTGGGCGCGCATCTTCGGATCGAAATTTCCCCTCGGTGCCTGCTGACTGCTTGCGGCGATCGGAGTTTTGATCTCACCCAACGCAAACTCCAAGCTTGTGATGTGGAAGCTTGTGTCCGTCAGCAGGTGCTTGGAGATGTGAGGAATTTTCGTTACACTAATATCTGCACCACCGTTGCTGGTGGCGCTTGTTGTGCTTGTCGTACTGCTACTTCCAGCTCCTTCGCCAGCGAGTTCGTTCTTCATTAGTGCCAGAAGGATTCCGATGGCAGCACTGATGATGGCAAAGTGAGTCACGTTGCTCAAGTCTGGCAAGCAGAGATCCATCACGTGTTGGAAACAACCGGGGGGAACCGTCACACGGGATAGTACCTGGATAGCGAGCTGAAACAAAGAGATAATGTTACCAGAATCTGCAATGGTTTAAAATCTTTAAAAAATATTCTGATTGTCCTTATGAGTAAGTGCAGTCAAGCGTGTCGGTCTAACACGGTGTCGACTTATCAATAATAATACACAATAAATTTCCTAATTTTCCAGAAAATTTTCTGAAAGGAAGGAATTCAAAAATTAAATAAATAAAAATAATTAAAAATGCCTTCTGATTAAAAGTTAATACTTGAATCTACAGTTTTGATACTATACTTTTACTGCAAAATTATTACTTTATGGCTTAAAAATGACCAAGATTGTCATGCAGTAATAAGCACAATTTTTTTTATAATGATGGCTGCCAAGCCTTTGGGATTTTTCTTATTAAAGAGTTGTATAGAATTTTCTCCTTTAGTTTACTTAAATCTTCGGTTTTTATTAGTTAGGTAGGTTCCGATTCAACACATTGTAGTCTCATTTTTATACCTGTGATCTTGACTTTTTTACCTATGGGATGAGTACTTAAGGGGGTTAGATTTTGATAAGTTCTTTAGTGGGAATGACACTGATGAAGACTGCACATTGTAGTCGAAATACGTATCTATCATGGATACCAAAATTAATTAAGTAGAATTAAATGGAAGATAACCTTTTTTGCTGTTTTAATTTTATTTATAGTTGTGGAAGTTCCTATGTTTTTCCTATTAATCTTTAAATATAAAAAATTATCAAACCTTTGAATACATATGAAAATCCTCCATTATTCGAGCAAAAGACCCATACCGCAGTCATAGAAATTCCACTAGAACACCTACCCTATAGAAACGCATTTAAATTGTCTAGATTCATTAGATTTAAATATTAGCCAGACTATGCTGCATGGATAGTTTCGCAATAATCTTTAACATTGTATATTCGATATGGGGAATAATGACAATGACAGATCCTATACGGAGAATTAAATTAATATATTTGATAATCAAATAGATCCAAATATCTCAGAACAAAATACTCGATATCTAAAATCAACAATCAAGTTTAGATGTTAAAATACATTGTTTAAGTGATTTGAACATTCAACTTCTAGATCTAAAAAAGTGTATCAAACTCGGGATCCTGGTTGGTTCGGAATTTTTTAACATTTGCTTACGAATATTGAAAAATTGTGCAAATCAGGGAATAATTTTCGCAAATCCTATAGAACTCAAATTTTGATTTATTTCTCATTCTGATCATATTGTTCTATAACCGCTTTTTTTCTAATCCGGAATCTCGATTTATTATATTTGAAGTAATTGTTTGAAACCCCAGGATATCTAAAGTTACATAGTAAACACCATAGTTTAGAAACTTGAAAATGTTTCTTAGTCTAGAACCTCTGGGATCATAATATTTTTCCGAAGTCCAGGATCATACAAATTTGGAAAATTCAGGTTGTTAAACATTATTTTTAATTTGGGGTTTCTGATATTTTCTACAATTTCGAAAATATATAAAATTGCTCCAAGGTCGAGATACTGCTATGCCTGAAATATTTTTAATATTTCAAAGCCGATTTCAAGCGAGCATGATCCGATTTCCAGTTTACCGTAAACTGTACAGATCGTGATCTGTACAAACTACGACCAACGATTAGTCCTCTTCCACCTTGAAAATACGTTATTGGACAGGCAACTCACAGATAACAAATACATTATTAGACTGAGTCAAGCTCAGATTAGTGAGTTACCCTTTTCGCTCATTATATCCACAAATCACAACATGTGCTTATTTCACGAGACGAGAGTGAGTGTCTCTGTGAGTAGTATTCTTTGGCAGCTTGGGGCTAGGCGGTAACTATCACAGGTGAGTGGATTTGGACAGTTTTTGACCTGCTTCATACGACCGAAAGGTGCATGCAGGTCACAAATGCCGTGCCAAACTGATTTCCTACGCAATTAATCAACCTTTGATGTGAATTTCGCTAATAAACACGAGGAGCATTTCTTATAGCAAAACTTGCCATAACAAAATGGGCATAGTTCATTTTAGTAAACAAACTAACACTTCTTCCTACTGTGTCACCTTTCTATTACCCGCCTAGAGTTTGGGGTTACAGAGCAATAGCGAATTTGTTTATTCCCAGGTTGGTACCAGTTCCAACCCAGTGCAAACCCGAACTTTTTGTCACCGCGAAAGTCGACCCGTGCCAGGTTATAAAAACAAACGATCAAACTGACGTTTGCTAGATAACAAGCCGACCCTAGAGTCGGTGTATAATGAGTCACGCCAAGAGTGAAGCCAAGTCTACCTATTGAACTGTCAAACCGGCTACACGCTAACTTCTGCTTACTCACCAGGTGAGTCGATCGTACTCACTTTCATCCGATGTATCGAGTTGTCAAAAATTGAGTAAACGAGAAATGTTAAACTGAGTAAAAGCCACTCAGTCAGCAAAATCCTGGACTAGGAAAAAATGCCAGTCATGTCGGAGGAAACCTCATAGAAAATGTTACTCAAAACCGGCTGAAATGCCTTCCGGTAAGTACGTATTGCTTAGGGAAACGGTGTTGAACCGTTTTTTGCTCCGGGAGAATGAATCCGGAGCAGGCAATTTCCATTTCCTCGAATAAAAATCAAAACAAAAACCCTCCCCGCAACTGAAAATACCGGCAAGTGGATTTGACTCAGTCTACGTGAGAACGTAGTTTACTCAAAAGTGAGTCAACATAAGGCTACTCAATTTTGAGTAGCCATACTTGCCGCTGAGATGAGTAAATTCGACTCAATTTTGAGTTGACCGGAATAAGCGTGTACCTATCGTGCAAAATAAACAAACATAACGATGAAAGGTCCACGAAAGGTATTGCAATAAAATATAAAATATAATCGAAGAAATGATCATAAACACGCAGTGAGCATTAAATTGTCATGGGATACGTTTGGTAATGATCAGTAATGAGAATTTCTACTATTTTGTGATAAGATAATTTGACAAAATCACTGATATAATGATTTACTACAGTCGCTTTTTTTTTCTCGCTAGAAGTCATTTGAAGTTGATGTAGAAGTCCTCTGTTGCCAAGTGAAAAGAAAGGGAAACGTTCGAAAACCGTGTTGCGAATTCAACTGTTTTTCTCTTGGCGTGACTCATTATACACCAACTCTAGCTGACCCTAACTTGAAACCCAATACAGGTTGGAACGGTAATAAACAAATTCGCTATAAGCAAGCATCAGCAGATACGGGCTGACCATCGGTAGGGGAGAACAGTCCATAATGCACCCCCGGAGTAAAATGGCTCCGTGCGGGTTTTCGTTGCTTTCCCATTACTAATTCTGGAAATATTATGTGCCAGAATGTTAGTTCAAGCACTGAACTAGCAATGCTGATTGTTAAATTCACGAATTGACAATCGGAAAGCTATGAAAAACAGCACAGGGCCATTTTACCCCAGGGGTGCGTTTTGAACTATCCTACCCTAACTTTTAACACGAAGGCTGAAACGGGGCGATGTGCGGTTTCTATGCTAAGGAGGATGCAAACAAGTCGACTCTTTCGTTCTCTCGGTTTCGAATGCAGCAACAGACGTGACGTAACGGACCAATGCCGTCAACGCAAATACATGGGTCTTTCCTAATTCAGACTGAAAAAAAATCACGATCATTATGGCAATGATCATGATCTGATCACGGTTGTTCATCAGTTGTTCATAATCCGAACAACTTCTTGTACTCAGCTGTACGCATTGAGATCTTTATTTTGTAGCGTGCACTCACAACAAGCCTTGCGTAGTATAAGTAATGTATCGTGAGTGCATACAACAATGATGTTATATATATAACTCGTAGATAAAAGATGGATTCTTCAGTGGTGTTGAGTACTTGGCACTGATGAAGTCTGCAAGTAGTAGACGAAATACGCGTATCTGTCAAAAGATAAGCAATTATTACGGAATTTAAAGGAAATAAACCAACCCACTCAAAGCTCTTCATATTAATTGTGTTTAAAATAACATTATTGGATTGTCCAAATCATCGATTGAAAGAAAAGAATAGAGTTTATGTAATTTTAAGGATTTTTGATACCTTACCATATGAAAGTTGTAAACAGATGTGTAAACAAGAGAATATAATTATGTACCTAGATGATATAAAATTGTTTGATTCCAAGTGACATTGCAAGTTTTATACCGGTTTAAAGGATTCTTCAAGACCAAAATATGGCCTACAAGACTATGATAAAACCAAAATGGTTACCTAGGATGAGTATATAAGCTCTTTCCTAGTGCGATTTCGGTTTTCCCGCATTTTCTCCGACTGGATGGACACCCTGTGCTTCATAGAAATGGGTGAGATAGTACTGAATATTTATTTATTTTCAAAATTATTGGTGGTGGCACACTCGCCCCTTGTTACCTGAACTGAAAAATGTTTCACCCGATAAATTTTGATTTTGGTGTATACGTCACACATTGTTGTTACAAAAGATTGTGGTGAACAATGCTGTGCTTATTTTTAGTATGCATGTTGATGTAACCAATTCTACACCTAATACTGGTGGCATTTCAAAAAACGCACATTGCAAAATGTCCAATGTATTTATTGATCAAATCCCTGACTATATTCGGAATAAATTTTATAAAAAAAAAAAACAATTATGCTGCACAAAATATGGCTGAGAAAACATGAAGTTGTCGACATAAAGTTTTGTCAAAGTTAGAAGTATTACCTGACAGATCCTCCCAAGAATGATTTCACTATTGGCCCTCGCCGCATCCTGGAGCAATCCTGGCGTGATGGTCAAGATCATCTCCAGGGCCCGCATCAGCGACACGGTCAGCTCGAAGCACATCGAACAAATCTTCAACTGCTTCGTTTCGATCACCTGCTGTTCGTCACGTTGCGACACATTTTGAATCTGAAATTTTGATAAAAAAAAAGCAAATTATAATCTGGAGAAACAAATCGCTCGGACCGAGTGCTCTTACATCTTGCAAAATGTGTATAAACTCGGAAAAGGCCCAATTCAGCTGAGATAGCACCGAATTCAAAAACGTCGTACAGTACGGTTCATCTTTGCTGAGGATATCGCTGATCATCCGTTGAAAGTGCCGCGAGGGGCATGCTGGGGCAATCAGATGCAGCAGACCGGTGTGGGAGCCGTTTTTGGCTCGACTTCGATACAGGCCAAGCGACCGACCTGGCTGGGTTCCGGCTTGCCATACACATGGTGGTCGCGATTCCCTGTAGCCAAATCCATCTCCTAACCAGAACCGTAACAGCAGCCAATTGCTCTGACCCCAAGCTCGGTTCTCGTAAGGACGGAGAAGGGCCCTCACGAAAGCTTGCTGACTTTTGGCAGATGCTTGTTCTAGTGCGCGTATTCCCGCCTCGTGACAAGTGAGCGATCCTAGCGCTTGAATCAATGCGTCCTTGCAGGAAGCTAGGATGACCCGCGCATCGGCGAGATGTTGCGCCAGGAAATCGGCAGCCGAATTTATTAGATGGCTATCGACTGAAAGATCGTGCTGAATGCCGGTATCGTGGTAGCTAAAATCAAGAATCGTATCCAGTAGAACTGGTACCACGTTGATGTAGGTCTCCGGGAGAAACGAGAACAGGGCGTGTTGTTCGCTGAAGCGTTGCAATGTCTTGAAGATTATGCTCATGAGCCAACCGAGTAGCGATCGGCGGTGCGATCCGAGAGCCACCGAACGGTACCAAGCTTGCTTTCGGGCCAGCTCCATGGAACGTTTCTGAAATGGATGATTTTACTTGTAGTTCAGATCATTGCCGATTCATGGTGAATAAGTCTAACCGCAAAGATACTTTTCCGCTGTCCGAAACGTGTGTCCAGTTCTTGCATCAGCTCCTCGTGGGCCTTGCTGAAGCCACTGGCATTCGTCCGCTTCAGTTCCTCTAAGTTGTGCACCACGTCATCACAGTTGGTTTTCGTTTCCAGCAGAATATCGGACAGGTGGCAAATATTGTCCCTCAAATCGGCAATCATTATGACGTATTTGTGCGCCACCGAGTAGTAGAAGATCACTGCACAGTCCAGCAGTTCGCAGATCGACTGTTGTTCGTCCATATTGCCGCTGTTGATGGGTCCACCGGTGGTACCAGTTTGGTTTGTAGCCAATGACGATTCTCCTCCCTGATGGTGCAACTCGGATCCGCTGCTAGAATTTGCATTATCTGTAAAACTATTCGACTTGAATAAAATAAGAATTCAACCCTACTTGGAAGCAGCTCTCGAAATCAACGAATAGGTCGAATTGGGTCCTCCGGATACTAGGAAGATCGCCGAGTCCAGGAAGGCATTGAAAGCGGCTAAAAGAAAGGCATACAGTTAGGTGAAGATTACTATTTGCATATCTACAATTCCATACCTATTTCGTTCCTCAAATCGGACTGCTGATCGACCGCTGCCAAGCTGGGGTGATCTTCACCCAGTTTCTCGACCAACTGCAGCCGGAAGTGTTTCTTCAGATAGGACAGCACACCACCGATGCGGTCAATGTTGGTATACTTGAATGTGCCGTCGTAGAAGTAGCGATAATCGATTGAGGGAGGTGAATTTGTGTCTAACGACGGTGACGATACCTCCTCATTCCAAAGAGTACGTGCAACGTCCAGCAGTGTGCACAGGAATGACAACCCAATCGCCGGTTGGGTGGATGATGAATATAGACCCTGTTGGAAGGTGAATGGTAATGTTAGATAGAAGTTTCAGAAACTAGATGTCTTCAAAAGCAAGCAATAGTTGAATTTCAGAAGACACGAGACCAAGCTATTTGTTTTTCAAAAATGAGAACTGAGAGTTACAGAAATCAAAGCGCTTACCCTCATTTCCGCATTGTTATCCATGACGAACTTCCTCAGCCGGGCCATAAAAATCTTCCGACTCGAGGGCGAACAGCCGTCCTCTCCGTCGCGGTTGTTTAGCAAGATGTGAATCAAGTTCTTCTGCAGCGTATACAGCACGCTGGTGTGGGCCTTCAGCTTCTCGCATGCGGCCAGGTAGACTTGCTTCGACCCACCCAGCCCCTCCGTCCAAATGGCATCGTCCGGCAGCAGTTGTTCCAACGTCGATTCATCCGGGGGCTTCGTATACAGGAACAAAGGTAGGCAATTTTTCTTGAAGAACTTAAATTCCAACAGATATTTCCGCGTCAGAGGGTGATTGCAGATGCATGTAAGGATGACGATTATCTTTCGTTGCTTTTCGTACTCCAAATCGACGGGCGTTTCCTTGTAGGTATTGGCGAGAAAGTTGAGCAATTTTTTGAGAAATAGTTTCATCTCTTCCGGTTCCAGATAAGTCCACAAGAGGGTGAGGAATGTTCCCAAGGTGCTTTCCGGAGATCCTGGTTGGATTGGAGATTCATTCTTGGTGTTGCTGCGCAACACGCACATGCCCTTCATGTACTTGAACACCTTGTCTTCGACAACGTAGGAATTGGCCAGTAGGGGAGCTATTTTTTCTATCAGCGTCGATGCAATGAGCATGTAGATTGATTCAAATGATAGGAATGCATTGTTTGAGGTGGGAGAGTCCTGGTCGCAGCGGGTGTGGCGAGAGATGGCCCCTGAGAGGTTTACGATATATTTGAGAAGACAATCTGCTTGGAATAGACAAATGTTTGGTGGATTCTGCAAACATCGATATCCCTCAACGGGATGCTTCAGTGGAGATCCTCCGAAATTGGCAGTGAGACTATCGTTGAAAGCCAGAGAAACGGCAGGATACAGAGCCAATCCAGGGCCTCTTTCAATATCCTTGAAAGCTTCCCCCAAAGCAGCACCATTCCGGTAGTACTCGATTCGTCCCTCGTCCATGTCAACGCACACACCGAATATGTCACCGGATCTCCAAAACGGTCCATATTTCTGCGTGTAAACATGCCATATTCGTTGCTTACTTCCGTCTAGGCCATAGCTGTATCTCGTATCTCCAACTCCCGTGTCCTGCGTAAACTTACAATGTGCCGAGCACCATCCAATTTGCATCACTCCTTTAGACCGAAGCTGAACCTAAAATCAATAGAACGATAATTAAGGACCACGCCCAAAAAGGTGAATGCCACGAAATTCGCGTTCCCTACCTCGTACATCCACCGTCCGGAATAAACACAGCAGTTAGCTTTTACCGTGGAAAAAGCATTCTGCGATTGCAGCGTCAATTTGTCCTTGGACACCAAAATAGATCCATCCTCGGTGGCATCGAATACGGTCCGTTTAGGACCGAGCCGTCCCGTTATCCCATCCGAACCTATGTCTTCCTCCTCTTCAAATGTATGGCTCTGAAGCTTTTCCTCCAACCACTCGCCAATTTCCACCAGATACCTTCGAATTACACCCAAGGTCATTCAACTACAAGGTTCTTGCGTAAAACACGCATACTTACCCAGACAACAAAGAGGAATCGTCTTCCTCGAAGGAATCGGACGATATCGGACATTCACCACCGAATACGCTGGACAAAACACTTGCAAAGTCCATTTCGCTGCCAAAACTGACCGCCAATCACATTTTTTCACGTTTGAAATTTGACAAATTACTCCGAAGATTGTCTAATCAACTAGAAGGCCAAAACAATGCACGGCCGACACGGGCGTGTTTGACGCTTGAGAGGTCACAGATGCTAATGAATGAATGCTGCTGCTGATGCTTATACTGAAAGCGAATGAAAAACATGAAAAAACTACACCTGCGTTCTGCGCGCGATTCGCATGTTTTTGATTTTGTCTCACCATTCAACTCACCGCTCATCGAGTTGTTTACGAACGAAGGAGAACAAAAGTGAGGAAGCCGGCGTAAACATACAGCAGGCCAAGGATGCCAGACGATTTTGCCAAAAATCTGTATGAATATCAACAAAATAAGTCTGCATTCCCTAATAAAAGCGTTATGGTTAATTTGCTTGACGACGTATTCGGGTTATCATCCAAACCATTTGTTGTATATTTCAATCATTTGCGTTATCGTTTATTTATGGTATTTTTTTATTAGGGTTAGTCTGAACACTAAACAAACATTACATTGTGTTTCACGCATGAATTTAAGCAATAATTATAAACAATATCATCGCTATTATTTATATCACCGGAAGGAAAAAAGAGAAAAAAAAGGCCAACGACACGTGACGTTCCCAAAGTACTATGGAGTGTATACCCCCGGGAATATAAACGTTTTTACTGTGAACTCTAAAAATTACGCCGTTCAAACTAAAAATTTATCAAACGTCATTTAGCACATGGAATGGAGAATAGCGATATGGAACGATGAAAAACGGAACACACAAAAACTTGCCATTCTGATTTTCGTAGAGTTACTAGAGTTACTTAATCTTCGGTGATCGAACGAGAACCGTTTAACGAGTTTTAACCTGCATACCCATCAAGTGGGTGGTGCACGTGAAATTCGATTCAAATCGAATGGGTTCTAATCTTCTAAGAGAATGCAAAATGACAACTTATATGAAATCAAATTCACTCGTACAAACGGAAGGCATCTCGCTTCCCTAATGGCAACATAGCAATAATCCTGAGTTCGAATCCACCTTCGGGACGACTAAAAAGCAAAAAGGCCAACGACACGCGACGTTCCCAAGCGGTCACCCATCTAAGTACTAATCGCGCCCAATGTTGCTTAACTTCGGTGATCGGACGAGAACGGGTGTTTTCAACATGGTATGATCGTTGACGAAGGCAGACAGCATAGGAGGGAGTTTTATGCTGCATTCCCATCAAGTGGGTGGTGCACGTGAAATTCGATTCTAATCGAATGGGGCTAATATCTGCTAAGAGAATGCAAAATGACAACTAATATGAAATCAAATTCACTATCTCTAATGGCAAAATAGCAATAATCCTGAGTTCGAATCCACCTTCGGGACGACTAAAAAGCAAAAAGGCCAACGACACGCGACGTTCCCAAGCGGTCACCCATCTAAGTGTACTAATCGCGCCCAATGTTGCTTAACTTCGGTGATCGGACGAGAACCGGTGTTTTCAACATGGTATGATCGTTGACGAAGGCAGACAGCATAGGAGGGAGTTTTATGCTGCATTCCCATCAAGTGGGTGGTGCACGTGAAATTCGATTCTAATCGAATGGGGCTAATATCTGCTAAGAGAAATTCACTATCTCTAATGGCAAAATAGCAATAATCCTGAGTTCGAATCCACCTTCGGGACGACTAAAAAGCAAAAAGGCCAACGACACGCGACGTTCCCAAGCGGTCACCCATCTAAGTACTAATCGCGCCCAATGTTGCTTAACTTCGGTGATCGGACGAGAACCGGTGTTTTCAACATGGTATGATCGTTGACGAAGGCAGACAGCATAGGAGGGAGTTTTATGCTGCATTCCCATCAAGTGGGTGGTGCACGTGAAATTCGATTCTAATCGAATGGGGCTAATATCTGCTAAGAGAATGCAAAATGACAACTAATATGAAATCAAATTCACTATCTCTAATGGCAAAATAGCAATAATCCTGAGTTCGAATCCACCTTCGGGACGACTAAAAAGCAAAAAGGCCAACGACACGCGACGTTCCCAAGCGGTCACCCATCTAAGTACTAATCGCGCCCAATGTTGCTTAACTTCGGTGATCGGACGAGAACCGGTGTTTTCAACATGGTATGATCGTTGACGAAGGCAGACAGCATAGGAGGGAGTTTTATGCTGCATTCCCATCAAGTGGGTGGTGCACGTGAAATTCGATTCTAATCGAATGGGGCTAATATCTGCTAAGAGAATGCAAAATGACAACTAATATGAAATCAAATTCACTATCTCTAATGGCAAAATAGCAATAATCCTGAGTTCGAATCCACCTTCGGGACGACTAAAAAGCAAAAAGGCCAACGACACGCGACGTTCCCAAGCGGTCACCCATCTAAGTGTACTAATCGCGCCCAATGTTGCTTAACTTCGGTGATCGGACGAGAACCGGTGTTTTCAACATGGTATGATCGTTGACGAAGGCAGACAGCATAGGAGGGAGTTTTATGCTGCATTCCCATCAAGTGGGTGGTGCACGTGAAATTCGATTCTAATCGAATGGGGCTAATATCTGCTAAGAGAAATTCACTATCTCTAATGGCAAAATAGCAATAATCCTGAGTTCGAATCCACCTTCGGGACGACTAAAAAGCAAAAAGGCCAACGACACGCGACGTTCCCAAGCGGTCACCCATCTAAGTACTAATCGCGCCCAATGTTGCTTAACTTCGGTGATCGGACGAGAACCGGTGTTTTCAACATGGTATGATCGTTGACGAAGGCAGACAGCATAGGAGGGAGTTTTATGCTGCATTCCCATCAAGTGGGTGGTGCACGTGAAATTCGATTCTAATCGAATGGGGCTAATATCTGCTAAGAGAAATTCACTATCTCTAATGGCAAAATAGCAATAATCCTGAGTTCGAATCCACCTTCGGGACGACTAAAAAGCAAAAAGGCCAACGACACGCGACGTTCCCAAGCGGTCACCCATCTAAGTACTAATCGCGCCCAATGTTGCTTAACTTCGGTGATCGGACGAGAACCGGTGTTTTCAACATGGTATGATCGTTGACGAAGGCAGACAGCATAGGAGGGAGTTTTATGCTGCATTCCCATCAAGTGGGTGGTGCACGTGAAATTCGATTCTAATCGAATGGGGCTAATATCTGCTAAGAGAATGCAAAATGACAACTAATATGAAATCAAATTCACTATCTCTAATGGCAAAATAGCAATAATCCTGAGTTCGAATCCACCTTCGGGACGACTAAAAAGCAAAAAGGCCAACGACACGCGACGTTCCCAAGCGGTCACCCATCTAAGTACTAATCGCGCCCAATGTTGCTTTAACTTCGGTGATCGGACGAGAACCGGTGTTTTCAACATGGTATGATCGTTGACGAAGGCAGACAGCATAGGAGGGAGTTTTATGCTGCATTCCCATCAAGTGGGTGGTGCACGTGAAATTCGATTCTAATCGAATGGGGCTAATATCTGCTAAGAGAATGCAAAATGACAACTAATATGAAATCAAATTCACTATCTCTAATGGCAAAATAGCAATAATCCTGAGTTCGAATCCACCTTCGGGACGACTAAAAAGCAAAAAGGCCAACGACACGCGACGTTCCCAAGCGGTCACCCATCTAAGTACTAATCGCGCCCAATGTTGCTTAACTTCGGTGATCGGACGAGAACCGGTGTTTTCAACATGGTATGATCGTTGACGAAGGCAGACAGCATAGGAGGGAGTTTTATGCTGCATTCCCATCAAGTGGGTGGTGCACGTGAAATTCGATTCTAATCGAATGGGGCTAATATCTGCTAAGAGAATGCAAAATGACAACTAATATGAAATCAAATTCACTATCTCTAATGGCAAAATAGCAATAATCCTGAGTTCGAATCCACCTTCGGGACGACTAAAAAGCAAAAAGGCCAACGACACGCGACGTTCCCAAGCGGTCACCCATCTAAGTACTAATCGCGCCCAATGTTGCTTAACTTCGGTGATCGGACGAGAACCGGTGTTTTCAACATGGTATGATCGTTGACGAAGGCAGACAGCATAGGAGGGAGTTTTATGCTGCATTCCCATCAAGTGGGTGGTGCACGTGAAATTCGATTCTAATCGAATGGGGCTAATATCTGCTAAGAGAATGCAAAATGACAACTAATATGAAATCAAATTCACTATCTCTAATGGCAAAATAGCAATAATCCTGAGTTCGAATCCACCTTCGGGACGACTAAAAAGCAAAAAGGCCAACGACACGCGACGTTCCCAAGCGGTCACCCATCTAAGTACTAATCGCGCCCAATGTTGCTTAACTTCGGTGATCGGACGAGAACCGGTGTTTTCAACATGGTATGATCGTTGACGAAGGCAGACAGCATAGGAGGGAGTTTTATGCTGCATTCCCATCAAGTGGGTGGTGCACGTGAAATTCGATTCTAATCGAATGGGGCTAATATCTGCTAAGAGAATGCAAAATGACAACTAATATGAAATCAAATTCACTATCTCTAATGGCAAAATAGCAATAATCCTGAGTTCGAATCCACCTTCGGGACGACTAAAAAGCAAAAAGGCCAACGACACGCGACGTTCCCAAGCGGTCACCCATCTAAGTACTAATCGCGCCCAATGTTGCTTAACTTCGGTGATCGGACGAGAACCGGTGTTTTCAACATGGTATGATCGTTGACGAAGGCAGACAGCATAGGAGGGAGTTTTATGCTGCATTCCCATCAAGTGGGTGGTGCACGTGAAATTCGATTCTAATCGAATGGGGCTAATATCTGCTAAGAGAATGCAAAATGACAACTAATATGAAATCAAATTCACTATCTCTAATGGCAAAATAGCAATAATCCTGAGTTCGAATCCACCTTCGGGACGACTAAAAAGCAAAAAGGCCAACGACACGCGACGTTCCCAAGCGGTCACCCATCTAAGTACTAATCGCGCCCAATGTTGCTTAACTTCGGTGATCGGACGAGAACCGGTGTTTTCAACATGGTATGATCGT